TGCCTCCTGAGTGCTGGGATTAAAGGCATGCACCACCATGCCTGGCTTCATCGTTTTTTTAATATATTTTATTTAATATTTTTATTTTATGTGTATGAGTGTATTGCCTGCATGTATGTGAGTGCGCCCATGTCATGCAATGCCGAGGTCAGAAGAGGGCATTAGATTCCCCTGGAACTGGAGTTAAGGAGGGTTCGTAGCCACCATGTGGATGCTGGGAATCGAACCCAGGTCTTCTGCAAGAGCAGTCAGTGCTCTTAACCGCTGAGCCATCTCTCCAGGACCTTGTTTCATTGTTTTATTGAAACAGGGTCTCACTGTGTAGTTCTAACTGGCCTAGAATTTCCTATGTAGACCAGGTTGGCCTCGAACTCAGAGATCCACTTGCCTCTGCCTCTCAAGTGCTGGAGCTAAAGGTGTGAGTGTCCCAGCTAATGACTTTTGCTAGCTAGAATGATAGGAGAAAGGAAGAAAAGGACAGTCACAAATACGGTCTTGCAATTGCTAGAGCCCTAGACTTTCCAGAGCTATCATGTAGTCTTCTTAAGCACCCTAAAACATTTTTGAGACATGCTTTTGTCAGGCAATTGATTTAACAGTGAGCTGGCCTTGCTTACTGGGAGGCATTCAGGGCTGCTTAATAGATGTGCATCTTAGACTGCTTAGCGTAGGGACAATCACAACTCAGTAGATCTGTGAGTCCCCATGATTGCGCTTCAGGATTCAAGCAAATGCTTTGAAGTATTAACAGAAAAAGCACAGAATTTCAAGTGAGCCATGTATTTGTTTCTCTCTCCAATTATTCTGATAATCAACAGAGCACTTACTGTCATGGGAGTAAAATTATTCAAATTATATGACAAGTATCCAAGTAACCATTTCTGATGATAACATGTATATGTAGATGATAAATCCCCAGTGCTTTGTCTTTAAACAAGTCCTCTTACCCTCCTGGGTAGGTGGGCAGGTGGGATAATGATCTCTGGAGAAGAAAGACAGAGATTTTAGGGCTTAAACCAGGTTGAAAAAGATTAGGATTGGCTTCCAAATTAAAAATAAATAAATAAATAAAAATAGTAGGAGACACAGACTGTCACTCACACATCCAGGGAGTCTCAGGCTACTCCTGGTCGACAAGATAACAGTGCTCCCTCCTCTGGGGATTGTGTAAGCTCCTACTTTCCACCTGTTCCTTGCATCCTGTTCTCTCTGGAAGACCCTTCCTTCCCTTCTACCCTACCACCACTGAACTCTTTTAAGATATTATCTTTTTTTTTCAGTCTTTTTGAGACAGGGTTTCCCTGAAGCTCCAGGTGCCCTGAGACTCACTATGTAGACCAGGCTGGCCTTGAACTTTCAAAGGTCCACCTGCCTCTGCCTTCGAAGTTCTGGGATTAAAGGCATGCACCACCATGCCCAGCTTTTAAGATAATGTCTTTAAAAGGTTCTCTCATTTCCTCTGGTTACAACTCCTTCCATGTGCACCTATTGCCCTCTCCATCTCTTCTTGACTCACTCATTATGTTTGATGTTGCCTTGTACACAGTTATCTTTGTATCCTTAGCCCCATGGGGATACCAGGTGGAAAAGAAAACATTTGCCTCCCTAGTGCATGTTCACACACACACACAGAAAAACAAAACTTAGTATACTATCAAGTAAATTACTGGGTTTGTGTGTGTGTGTGTGTGTGTGTGTGTGTGTGTGTGTGTGTGTGTGTGATGTATATGGGCCTGTTGTTGATAAGAACCACCTTTAAGTAGAAGGAATATTTCATACCTAATTTTGAGGAAAAGGAAAGACTAGGGCTGGAGAGATGGCTCAGCAGTTAAGAGTGCTGACTGCTCTTACAAAGGACCTGAGTTTGGTTTCCAGCACTTACATGGTGGCTAACCACCCTCTGTAACTTGTTGAGGATCTCCAGTTTCAGGGGATCCTCGTCCTCTTCTGACCTCTCCAGGCATTGCACAACACAGGTGCACTTACATACATGCAGGGAAAACACTCATACACATAAAATAAGAAACAATAAATAAAATTTAAAAAACTTAAAGGAAAGATTATCTTTGACCTAAAGAGAGTCAATCCCACTCTGACTCTTGGAGCATTCGATATTCAAAGGCATGAACAGAATGTGAGTCATCTCTGAGTGAATTTCTTCTCTAAGAAAAGAAAACATTTGTCACCTAAGAGCTCTAGATTCGGGTGAACTATTACTTGCAGAGAAACAGGTGTCAAACAAAAAACCTACAGGGAGACCCGCAGGCTCACGGGAGATGTGGTCTGGCTCTCCTGCCTCCCTGGCTTTCCAGTGCTTCAGTCTTTCCGCGTTTTAAAAGTTTAGCACAATTTTAGTGATCCAACGCCAAGTTAAAGTTCCTGGTTAAATACAAGGCCTGAACGCACAAACAGTTCCATCAGTGGCGAAACATATCCGTGGGTTGCCCGGCAACTAACTGCTACAGTGGAGGCAGAAGGTGGGTGGGTTGTTGAGAAAAAAAGTACCTGGATCATGAACAAGAAAAAGAGTGGGAGGGGCTTTTCGAATGACTGTGCTTTAGAATTTAGATCATCCCTTCAAATTGTGGCAGCGTTGCTGGGAACCGTTGTGTTGGCATCAGGTTTTCGACAAAAGAGCAGGTGTGGCTCCACACACTCTTTCCTTCTGCCCACCGCCGGCTTTCTATAGCCCACGTTTCCAGCCCCAAGGCGTCCCAGATTGAGCACAGAGTATGGCCCTTTAAGCCTGACCTGCGGGGACGACGTGGAACTCCAGAACCAGCAGTGTGAGACACGTGGTACGAAGAGGCATTCATGTTGGAAATGGGCAAAGCGTATTTCCGCTGCGAGCTTTACAATATATGATATTGGGAGGGTATCCACACTTCTCATCTTTCTTCCATTTTCCCAGAACTGTAATGATGCCTGTACTCTCGAACAAAAATGTACTTCAAAATAACACCACTGATCGGTCTGTGTGCCCGTATTAAAAATGGTGCCTCCATCTTCAGCGGCGACTGTGCGTGTGCCATTAAGATCCGGGCGGAAACAGTAGTTAGGTGTAGCAGGGCTGAGCCGAGGTTGCTTCACTGAATCTCTTGCGGGTCAGGAGGGAGGGTCAGGTCGTAGTTGGGTTTTGCTCCAGCTGGCGTGGGAATACTTTGCTTGTGTGGGAGCTGCACTCCCGACCCCCGAGGCCACGGGTCTTCTGCCTTAGCTGAGTAGGCGGCGGAGCGGGGCTCGCGGCGGGTCACCATGTCGGCCTTCCCGGAATTGCCGCTGCCGCTGCTGGTAAATTTGTTCGGCTCGCTGCTGGGATTTGTGGCTACTGTCACCCTTATCCCTGCCTTCCGTAGTCACTTTATCGCCGCGCGGCTCTGTGGCCAGGACCTCAACAAGCTCAGCCGGCAGCAGATGTGAGTAACGGTAAACCCGTGTCCTGGGATAGGGGGCCTGGGTGTGCTGGACAGGAGTGAGGACTGAGGTGCTTGACTGTGTGCTGGCCCCAAAGCTAACCTAGGCTATCCAGAAGTCTAGGAAGTGATAGGCAGAACTGCTTATCCTGGGGAAGGATGGATTGGGAATGTTGGGTATATAAGATAGTCTAGCAGTGGATACTCTTCCTTGAGCACCTTCCAAAGAAACAAAACCAAACCCTTAGAAGAAAGCCACTTTGGATTACTGTAACCACGCCCCTTTCCTCTTCCTCCTGCACCGCTTGCTGCTGGGCCATAGCCCAGAGTCCCAGGGAGTGATCAGCGGTGCTGTTTTCCTTATCATCCTCTTCTGCTTCATTCCTTTCCCCTTCCTGAACTGCTTTGTGGAGGAGCAGTGTAAGGCATTCCCCCACCATGAAGTAAGTGGATTACTGGGGATGGTTGGCTGGGGCTGGGAAGGTACTTGAGAGAGTTGGGGTTATTTGGATTTATGAGGAGGGGGCTGGGGACCCAACTGAAAAGGCACGAATTCTTGGACTACGGATGTAGCTCAGTTTTAGAGTGCTTCTTTAATATGTGCAAGACCCTGGGTTCAATCCCTAACTCCAAAACGGAAAAGAATAAAATTGAAATGAGGGATTCTTGGAAGGTGGAGTGGGAGTGGGCTTGAGTCATGACTTGCCCGAGCCTCCCCCAGTTTGTGGCCCTGATAGGTGCCCTCCTTGCCATCTGCTGCATGATTTTCCTGGGCTTTGCCGATGACGTACTGAACCTGCGCTGGCGCCATAAGCTGCTGCTGCCCACAGCTGCCTCACTACCTCTGCTCATGGTCTATTTCACCAACTTTGGCAACACAACCATTGTGGTACCCAAGCCCTTCCGCTGGATTCTTGGCCTGCATTTGGACTTGGGTGAGTAGCCCTGCCACTACCACGCCAACCTCAGGGTGCCCTAACTCTGAGATACCAATAAAACCCCTTCCTGGTTCTCCATATCCCCCAAGACTTCCTGTTCTGTCCCTGCGTTTGCTCAGATCTTTTTCTCTCCTCTTCCCTGCCTGCCTTCCTCACTCCCTCTTTCTCTTCTTTCCTGTACAAGGGATTGACCCCAAGGCCTCATGATTGCTAGGCAAGCACTCTATTGCTATATTCCCAGCTTATTTTTTTAGACACAGTTTTCCTGTATAGTCCAGGCTGGCTTTGACCTCAAGATCTTCCTGCCTCTACCTCTGGAGAGCTAACTTAACAAGCATGCACCACCACACTGGCTTTTATTAATTTTTAAGATTTCAAAACAGGGTCATACTAAGTTGACTTGAACTTAGTCTGTAAGCCCAGGCAGAACTTAAACTTGTGATCCTCCTGGCCCAAACTTCCAAGTAGCTGGTATTACAGGCCTGTGCCACCAGGCCTAGCTTACTCAGTTCCTTTTTGGTGGTCATTAATCTTGTGCTCTGTTCTCAGAATAATATCCATAAATCCTACTTTCCTTGGTGCACTGCTTTTCACTGTGTCTCCCCCAGGGATCCTGTACTATGTCTACATGGGATTGCTTGCTGTGTTTTGTACCAATGCCATCAACATTCTAGCAGGAATTAATGGCTTAGAGGCTGGCCAGTCACTAGTCATCTCTGCTTCTATCATTGTCTTCAACCTGGTGGAGCTGGAAGGTAGGTGAGATTAGGGATAGGGAGACAGGGAAGTCTAGTGTTGAGGGAATTGCCTGATATGTGGATTTGGAAAATTCCTGGGTGAAGGGAACAAAAAAAATATAGGTAAGCAAATAATAATGAGTTATTAAACAGAGAAAGAAACACAGTGCTGCTGGACATCGTGGAGCACACCTTGAATCCCAGCACTTGGGAGACAGAAGCAGGCAGATCTCTGTGAGTTCAAGGCCAGCCTGGTCTACGTAGTGAGTTCCAGGCCAGCTGGGACTACAGGGAGAGCCTGTCTCAAAAAGACCAAAAAGAAAAAAAAAAAATCACAGTACTGCCATTTATAGCTGGATTGCCATGAATAGCTAGACCATAATTTATTTTTTTAAGAAAGATTTATGTGTTTCACCCACACACACACACACACTGTGTGTGTGCCTGGTGTCCACAGAGACCAGAAGAGGGCATTGGATCCCTTGGAACTGGAGTTATAGGTGGTTTTGAGATACCATGTGGGTGCTTGGAACCAAACCCGGGGCCTCTACAAGAGAAGACCATTTCTATTGGACATAGTTTCACAGAACTCTGGCATCAGAGAGGTCATTCTTTGACCACGACGGAAAAGACAAAACCCAGATCTTCCCTCCATAATTATGTCTGAATGCAGAAAAACCCATAAGAACATAAGCAACATAAAAATGACCAAGATCATTCTCAGCTACTGTGAGAGAATACAACTCCATTCCAGCAGCAGCTCAGTTCTTCCTATATCTTTTTGTTTTGTGATTTTGAGACAAAATCTGACTGTATAGCCCTGCCTGACCTAAAACCAATGATTTTTCTTCTCTCTGTTTCCCAAGTGCTCGGATTACAGGCATGTGCTACCATTACCTGGCTTCTTCCTACTTAGATTAGAATAGTTAAAATGGTCAGTCAGAGAATTGCTCCTGTTTTCTGTTAGCCCTCAGTTTCAGAGCACATCTATTAGTATGTTTCTCATAGTCTTTAGCTGATGGATATCAACAAATTGTTATTAAAGCTCTACATTGCTTTGAGGCAGGGTCTTACTATGTAGCCCTGACTAGCCTGAAACTGTGTAGAACAGACTGGCCATGAACTCACATAGATCTGAGTGCTGGGATTAAAGGTATGTGTCATCACCCCTAGCTTAAAGCTAAACACTTTTAAAATATCTCATTTAATTTTTTTTTTTTCTATTTTATGTGTATGTATGTATTGCCTGTGTGTAGGTGAGTGCACTGGTGTCGTGCAATGGCCGCGGAGGTTAGAAGAGGCTGTTGGATCCCCTGGGACTGGAGTTACGGACAGTTGTTAGCTGCCATGTGGGTGCTGGGATTCAAACCTGGGTCTTCTGCAAGAACAACCAGTGTTCTTAACTGCTGGGCCATCTCTCCAGCCCCTCATTTAAATTTTGTAATGTATCTCATTTAAATAATGTAATGTGTGACAGGTGTCACCCGATTTTACAGATGAGAAAATGGAAGCTTAAAGACATTCATGTCAAATTCACACATACAGGAAGTAAAACTGGTATTCAAACATAAACTAGAATTTCTAAACCATCTTCAAGACTGTCACTGGCTTTTTTGAAGATTCCAGGAAAGTGGTAGAGTACTGGGAATTGTTGGGTGAAATGAAAGGGGAAGTTAGAGATGGGGCATGGTGCCATCTAACTGTAATCCCAGCCACTTGGGAAGTGGAAGAAAGGAGATCAGGAGACTCTGCTACACAGGAAGCTGGAAACCAGTGAGGGTTGGATGGGATGGAGTTGGTTCTTTTTGTTTGCTTCTTTTTTTTATTTTTTATTTTTTGTCTTTTTGAGGCAGGGTCTCCCTGTAGCCCCAGCTGTCCTGGAACTCACTATGTAGATCAGGCTGGCCTTGAACTCACAGAGATCCACCTGCCTCTGCCTCCCAAGTGCTGGGATTAAAGGTGTGTGCTATCCACTGGCCTCTCTTGCAGAGGACCTGGGCTCGATTCTCAGCACCCACATGGTGGCTAACAGCCATCCATACCTTCAGTTCCTGGGGATCCGCACCCTCTTCTGACCTCCCTGGGCACTGTACAACAGGTGCACCTACCTACATGCAGGCCATACACTCATACACATAAAATAAAAATAGTAAATAAAATAAATTTTTAAAAGTCTCTCCAGGCCCCATAAATATTTTTTTTTTTACTTTTATTATTTTTATTTTACTTGTATGAGTGTATGGCCTGCATGTATGTGAGTGCACCCATGTCATGCAACACCACAGAGGTCAGAAGAGGGCTTCAGATTCCCCTGGAACTGGAGTTAAGAACGGTCCATAGCCACCACATAGGTGCTGGGAATCGAACCCGGATCCTCTGCAAGAGCAGTCAGTGCTCTTAACTGCTGAGCCATTTCTCTAGCCCCATAAAATATTTTTTTTAAAAAGGCATGTACAGCCGGGTGTGATGGCACATGCCTTTAATCCCAGCACTCGGGAGGCAGAGGCAGGCAGATCTCTGAGTTCAAGGCCAGCCTGGTCTACATAGTGAGTTCCAGGACAGCTGAGGCTACAGGGAGACTCTGTCTCCAAAAAAAAAAAAAAAAAAAAGGCATGTGCTATCTTCACCCCCCATCTTGGAGTTGGTTCTTGAAAGTAACTTGGGCAATCTGTTCCTAATGACTGGGAACAGAACTTAGACACAGACAAAAACAGGACCAATGCATGTAGGGAAGTAGGTATTCATTGTTTCTTTCTCTTTCCTCTGCTTCCAAGGTGATTACCGGGATGACCATGTGTTTTCCCTCTACTTCATGATACCATTTTTTTTTACTACATTGGGATTGCTGTACCATAACTGGTAAGTAGGCCTGTGGTCAAGAGAGAAAGCCATTAGAATATGTGGCAGAGATAGTCTTGATTATAACTTAGCTCCTAATGAAGAGACTAAAATTGTGCATGCCTTTCTGAGTGTTTTCTGGGTCTTCCACTGGTAGTATTCTGACATTATTTTTTCCATTGTTTTTGGGGTTTTTTTTTCTGGATTTTTTTTTGATGATACAGGAGATTGAATCTAGGATCTCACCAGTGCCAGGCAAGCACTCTATCAGTGAGCTCTACCGCTAGCTCTCTTTTTACTTTTTATTTTATGTGTATGAATGTTTTGCCTACATGTATGTAAGGCCCATGTCATGCAGTGCCCACAAAAGCTAGAAGAGGGTATCAAATCCTCTGCAACTGGAATTAAGAACTATTGTTAGCCACCATATGGGTGTTTGGAACTGAAGCTGGATCCTCTGCAAGAGCAACTAGTGCTTTTAACCACTGAGCCATCTCTCCAGCCCCTCTTTTTACTTTTTGAGATGGCAGTCTCATTAAGTTGCTCAGGCTGGCCTTGAACTCACTCTCTAGCCAAGGCTGAACTTGAACTTGTGCTCCTCCTGCCTTCAATCTCCAGAGTAGCTGAATTATAGACCTGTGCTACCAGTCTCACTTAACTCCCCCTGCCCCGAACACACAGTGCTAGAAATTATCACCTTGTACATGCTAGGCAAGTACTTTACCACAAAGCTACATATGCAGGCTGGTAGTACTGTAAAATTATTGTCTATCCCACAGCACTTGGGAATAAATGCTATGGAACCCCCAAAATAGATGAATTGGAGGCCTTGGGTCCTACAGAGTTTCTGGAATAGCTTTTCTCTTAGAACTTGGGTCAGGGCTAGCCCATTGCCAAAAGTGAGCGTACAAGAGAAAAGATTAGTAATGCCTCTTGCCATTGGCTCAGATTCTCTCTTCCATGCAGGTACCCGTCACAAGTGTTTGTGGGAGATACCTTCTGTTACTTTGCTGGCATGACCTTTGCCGTGGTGGGCATCTTGGGACACTTCAGCAAGACCATGCTGCTCTTCTTCCTGCCACAGGTGTTCAACTTCCTCTACTCACTGCCTCAGCTCTTTCATATCATCCCCTGCCCTCGACACCGTATACCCAGGTAGCCACTCCAGGGCTTAGAAGGGACATCATAGCATCTCACTTGGGATAGTTAAAGCCAACCTGTGCAAAAGGAGGGGGCAAAGAAGAGGGGATAACCTATGTGGATTTCCCTTTGTAATTTACAAAGCACATTTGCTGACATAATGCATAATGTTTACAACAATTTTGATCTTACAGAAGTAAGCCACAGAGCTTACTTACTTCCATCTTCAAAACTCCTCTTGGGTTTTGTTTGGTTGGTTTTGGGGTTTTTTCGGGGGAGGGGTTGTTTGGGTTTTTTGTTTATTTTGTTTTTTTGAGACAGGGACTCATGTAACCCTAGCTGGTCTCAGACTCACAGAGATCAGTCTGCCTCTGCCTCCTGAGTGCTGGGACTAAAGACATGCACCATCATGCCAGTCTTTTCTTAGTTATTAACCAGAGGGTAGACTGGTCTTTGGGTAGTGATCCAATTATATAAAATGATCTTCCCCCTGCAGACTCAATACCAAGACAGGCAAACTGGAGATGAGCTATTCCAAGTTCAAGACCAAGAGCCTCTCTTCCTTGGGCACCTTTATTTTAAAGGTAACAAGGTAACAAGGAGGTAAGGCCCCAGGCCACCATCCTTTACTTGGGTAATGGGAAACCTAGAGCTATCTTAGATCCAAGAGAAGCTTAAAACATCAAGTCAGATCCCTGTTCCAGAAATGTAACTGAAGTTGTCTTCACCTCTGGTCCCTTCAGGTAGCGGAGAACCTCCAGCTAGTGACAGTCCACCAGGGTGAGAATGAGGATGGTGCCTTCACTGAGTGTAACAACATGACACTCATCAACTTGCTACTTAAAGTCTTTGGTCCCATACATGAGAGAAACCTCACATTACTCCTGCTGCTGCTGCAGGTAAGGTTAAAGGTGGGATTTATATAGATCTCCTCTTTCTCTTTGGTTCTCATTCTAATCCATTTTTTCTTGCAGATCCTGAGCAGTGCTGTCACCTTCTCCATTCGTTACCAGCTTGTCCGACTCTTTTATGACGTCTGAGTTCCCTGAAGATTGAACTTTACCTCACAGTCTCCAGGGGTTCTCCTGACCCAAGGCCAAACCTCTCTCTGGTCCAAGACTACCTTTGGCTCAGGCCTCTCCCACTATTTGCTCTCCTCTAGTTTGTTCTAAGCATTTCCTCTCACCTGTGATTATTGATACCCGGGGACTTTATTGCCCTCTAGACTATTAATTGGACTTTGCCTATGGCTTTCTTTAACTTGCCACTCTATCCCTTTATGACTGTCTTTGCAACCTCATAAGGTGGGATGTAGCAGCTTTTATGCAAATATTCACAACTTAACTTTCAGAGTCCTGACTCTAAAAGGAATATGCTTTGACCTTGAGAGAGAATTTGGACTAGGCTAGGGCTAGGGCCACATACTCCAAGGTGGCTTTACATTTGATTATAAAATTAAGTGTTCTGATCAGTAAGAGCAGAGGCGGGGCCAAATGCTCAAAATGATGACAATAAAGTGTTGCTTTTTACTTGTTCTTATAGGTATATTTCCCTTTTTTTTACTTTGAAGTGCTTGGGGATTGAACCCAGAGTGCTCTCATACTGAACAAGTGTTCTACAACTGAGCCATATCCCCAATTTGATATATATTTTTAATTATATTTATTGTATGTTTATAGGTGTGCGTATGTGTTATGTGTGTGAGGTCAGATAACTTACTGGCTGTCTCCTTCCACCCTGTGAGTCTCAGGAATCAAACTCTGGAGTCAGGCTTGGTGGCAAGTGCCACCATTTTTTTTTTTTTTTTTTTTCTTTTTGAGGCAGGGTCTCCCTGTAGTCCCAGCTGGCCTGGCACTCACACTATGCAGACCAGGCTGGCCTTAATTTCACAGAGATCCACCTGCTTCTGCCTCCCAAATGCTGTGATTAAAGGTGTGTGCTACCAAACCTACCTGGCTGCCTTTACCCTCTAAACTGTCTCTCAGGCCCTATTTATTTAGAGACAGCTCACTGGCCTTGAATTTACAGAAATCTGCCTGCCTTTACTTCCAGAGTGCTGGGATTAAAGGTATGTGCCACCATGCCTGGCTATATTTTTTATTTGAGCATTTTAGGCTAGATTGGAAAAGTTGGGGTGGGTATCTTTTCCAAAATGACTCCAATCTCTGCCCCATCAGATCCTTCTTCAAAAGCGACAGAACTGAGACAAGACAATGTGTTGCGTAAATATTAAAATACTGACATATAGCCGGGCATAGTGGTACATGCCTTTAATTCCAGCATTTGGGAGTCAGAAGCAGGTGGATCTCTGTGAGTTCCAGGCCAGCCTGGTCTACATAGCGAGTTCCAGGCCAGCTGAGACCCTGTTTCAAAGAACGACCAAAAAAAACAAACAAAAAAAAAAACCGGACACATTAGCCGGACATGGTGGTACATACCTTTAATCCCAGCACCCGGAAGGCAGAAAAAGGTGGATCTCTGAGATTGAGGCAAGCCTGGTCTACATAACGAGTTCCAGGTCAGCTCGGGCTACAGGGAAACCTTGTCTCAAAAAGATCAAATAAATAAAATTCTGACACTTCAGGTATCACGAAGGGCCGTAACGTTCAGTTGTCTGGCATAGGACCGAACACTCTGGAGTGCTCATCTCTTACCCTTTTCCCTTTGCGGAATTGGGAAGTGCTCTGACTTGGAAGGAAGGTAGTTGTAGTGCACACCCTTTTCCTCTGAAGCCCTAGCTAGGCCAGAGACCGGAAAGGTGGCTCCAGGCTCCACCCTCTTCATCTTCCGGTTCTGCTCCGCGGCCGTAGCGTTTAAACTTCGCGCGCTTTGCGCGAATTGGCCACAGCCGGGGGTGCTCAGCGGCTTACGTGCCGCCACTCCGCCCTGCTTTTTTCCCCCGGGTAAAGGGTTTTCAAATTGGACCAATCGCTGGGCTCGCTCTCTCGGCCGGATCGCGTCACCTAAGGGTTAATCGCGACCAACCATAGGCGGGTATTAAAGAAAAAAGCCAATCAGGAGGGTCCGGGGCGTGTCCTGGCCGCTTATAAGCGCGACCCCGCGTGAGGGTCGACAGTTGACTGCGGCGTTTGGCAGTTGGCGGTTTTGTTTCCCTGAGGCGCTCTTTTTGCGTTCTACCTCGCTCACCATGTCTGGCCGTGGCAAGACTGGCGGTAAGGCCCGCGCTAAGGCCAAGTCGCGCTCGTCCCGCGCCGGCCTCCAGTTCCCCGTGGGCCGCGTCCACCGGCTGCTGCGGAAGGGTCACTACGCTGAGCGCGTGGGTGCTGGTGCGCCGGTCTACCTGGCGGCCGTGCTGGAGTATTTGACCGCCGAGATCCTGGAGCTGGCGGGCAACGCGGCCCGCGACAACAAGAAAACGCGCATCATCCCCCGCCACCTGCAGCTGGCCATCCGCAACGACGAGGAGCTCAACAAGCTGCTGGGCGGCGTGACGATCGCGCAGGGCGGCGTCCTGCCCAACATCCAGGCCGTCCTGCTGCCCAAGAAGACCAGCGCCACGGTGGGGCCCAAGGCGCCGGCGGGTGGCAAGAAGGCCACCCAGGCCTCGCAGGAGTACTGAGTGCGGCCGCCCGGTCCTCCCCATACCGCCACAAAGGCCCTTTTCAGGGCCAGCACGTCCCTCACGAAAAGAGCTGAGGCACTCCGGGTGCGGGCGGGCCGAGCCCCCTCCCTGGTCCCCATCCCCATGCCTCGCGGCCTCCCCTCCCCCCGGGGCCGCGGCAGCACCTTCTAGAAGTCTTGGCCTCCCGTGGGGCTGAGGTGGGCCATCAAGGCTGAGAGGCGGCCGGCACACCGAAAGGCGAGTCCTCCGCAGCTGCCGCCCGCACGTCTTCTCCTGCTCGGTGCTTAGCCCTTGCCAGGACTTGACAGAAGTGACCGGCTCCCCAGACTTCGATGGAGGAGAAATGGGTCACTTTGGTCCTCAGTCCCGCCCTTCCAGGTCCCCGGGCTTTCAGGTCAGCGCCCCCCATCTTCATTCTTAGCCGTGGTGCGGCCAGGTCAAAACACTTAGGAACGGCTTTCCCACGCCGTCTGGGAAGACGTTCCGGAGAGGCGAGGCCTGCAGCTCGGGTTCCCAGCTGACTGGACAGCGGAGTTGCGTTCCCGCCGAAGGAGATTGGCAGCGGGCCTAGCCATCCCCTTTCCTCCAGATACTACTCGTCGACCCGAGCACCCAGATACCAGCACAAGTCAGTGAACCCCAGTCTGGACTGAGCCTCTGGCTTTGAACTGGAATTTTGCAGCTAACCCATCCTAGACTAGAACCTTAGGTATTGGGGAGTTTAAATGGGCTAATTTTGTTTATTAAAGGATCGTTTGGTTGTTTTTTTTTAAATGGAGTGTCTTTATTTTGGACGAGATGTAGGACCTGGACTGGGCTGTAGCTCAGTGGTAGAGCACATGCCTAGCCTGTGAGGCCCTGGGTTGATCCCATGGGGGTTGGTGGAGCTGTAGAGATAACTGCAGTGGGAGTGGGAGAGGCCATCTCACAGATAGACTCTCCTAACTGGAGAGGCAGGCCACAGGAGTTGGAAGCTGCTTTCTCTTGCTTTCTGGGGCTACAGGAAGACACACACACACACACACAAAGATGCTTTGCAACATAAGTCCCAGATTTATTCATCTTTTCCCCAACCCCTCCAAAACAACCACATTCAGAGCTGGTTTATTGATAGCACTGTTTACATTCAAAGATTGGCATGGACTTTTTTCTAAAGCCCCCAACTATTAAAGAAAGGCAGTCATCAAGGCCTCAAGGTGAGGCAGGTCTGGAAGTCAACACCCTGCAGTTCAGTCTCCCCCATTAGGGAGCACAGGGCACTGAGAGCCAGATGCAGGCACTGGAAAGTGACAACTTGGGTTCTTGTGCCCCACAGACCAGTTAGTGTGCATCATTAAGTTGCCGTGCAACATCCAAGATGTTCTTGGCCCCTTTGTTCAGCAATAAGCTGGCCAGGCTGATGCCCAAATTCTCAGCAGCTAGCTGGGCTCCACGTGGAATATTGTGGGCAGTGATGCCTACCAGCTGTGGGTCATCCTCTGGGCCATCATCTTCCTGGATGAAGGAAGGAGATAAGATTTGGTGAATGAAAGGAAAGATTACAAGCATGTCTGTTGATTCCTCCCTGGTCCTCTGAACTCCGTACCTGAGGAGAATGGATGGCAGCCTGCATGGTCTCTTGCATGCTATCTGAGCCATCTAGACTCCAGACTCCCCCAGTCAGGTACAGCTAGGAAACAAAATGGTTGCTTCAGCATGTTCTGAGAAGGGACTGCTTAGACACCTGGGGTGCACATGGAGAGATGCCACAGTCCCTCCCTCATCTCCCCCCTCCCCCACTCCCTGCTTACTTGCCCATCCTTCATCATTGTATGCACTGCTACTGGCACACTGCAGCCCCCTTCCTGCAATGGGAAGTTCCTATGAGCTCCAAGGGCCCTCACTACTACCATGTGACCACAAACTAGAAAGGCTGGGTCGTGTACACAGTAACTCATTAAAGATGCCCCCTAAATGCCCTTCCTAGTTCCCCAAGACCTGGCCAGAGGAGGCGCACATGCCTTACCAGGTGCCTCAAGAAGGCCCTTTCAGCAATGCAGCGGAGAAGAGTCTCAGGATCATGCAACACACCCACTAAATCCAAGATATACTGGTCCTTGGCTCGGACTTCTACCGCAAGGGCTCCCTGAAGGAAAAGCAATCAGTGGAGCTGAGGATGGGAACTACCCTGCCTCTACCTGCATCCCTGCACACTGTATTCAGGGGAAGCAGATGCCAAATGTTATAAGACCAGTTATTTTTTTTAAATATTGTTAATGGGGTTTTTGTTTTGTTTTGTTTTGTTTTTTTGGTCTTTTTGAGACAGGATCCCTGTAGCCCCAGCTGGCATGGAATGCACTATCGACTCAGGCTAGTCTTGAACTCACAGAGATCTGCCTCTCTTTGCCTCCCAAGTGCTGGGATTAAAGTTGTGAACCACCACCCCTGGCAATATTTTTACTTATGTGTATGAGTATATTGCCTGCATGTCTTTAAGTACACTGCCATGGAGGTCAGAAGAGGGTATTGGATCACCTGGAACTGGAGTTACAGCCAGTTGTTAGCCACCATCTCTCCAGCCCAAGACCAGGTTTTTTGTTTGTTTCTTGAGACAGGGTCTCACTATGTAGCCTGGCTATCTGAACCTACTAAGTAGACCAAGCTGGCCTTGAAATCTGAGATCCGCCTGCCTCTGCCTCCCAAGTGCTGGGATTAAAGGCATGTACTAGCATCTGCTGAGACCAGAAAACAAAAGGGAAGGGCACATCAACAAAGCCTTCTCCAGCCATGCTTACCTGGCCTACAGCATACATGCATTCCTCTGGGTGCAAGATCTGTGAAGGCAGAACAGAGAGGGGTGAAGTAGGAGTGTCCAAAAGCAGTGACATCTGGTTGCCTATCTGGCTAAACAGCCTGGGGAGGCACAAGTGAGAGTCTGGCTTCTAATCCCAGTCTCCCTAGCCTGGGGTCACTTCTGACTTGTAGAGTTACCAGGAGAATGGCCAAGAAATAGCACAAGCAAAAGGGGATGTAGATTAAGTGGGAAGTAGACTGGGGCAGCCCCTACCTGTCCCACCCGGTTCTGCCAGCCCAGGCGCTGTAGGCCAGCCACAGCCAGGACGATAGCACTGAACTCCTGCAGCTCATCTAGCTTCCTAAGCCGAGTGTTGAGGTTTCCCCGCTGTGGAGAGATGCTAAGGAGAAACCATGATCCATGTGGTATTCCCTTTTCCAGAGTCTTCTCCCACCCCTGGCTGACTTTAACAAGCTTTTTAAAACACCCACCCCCAACTCACAGGATCTATATTTGAGTGTGGACTTTCCAGTGCAGCCATAAATGGGGTGGGGGGTGCCTGCTCTTCTGTAAATAAACCTCCACCTTATGCTCTGTTAGCAAGCCCAATAAACTAGTTAGGATTTTCAAAGAATTAAAATAAAATAAAATAAACCACCCACCACCCACCCAACATACACACCGTAGTTCTGGCTGACCAAGCCTGGAACTCACAAATATCTGCCTGCCTCTGCCTCCAAAGTGCTGGAATTAAAGCTGTGCACTATCATGTCCAGTGTTTGCTTTTGTGAGAGAGTCTCATCTAGCCCAGGCTAGCCTTGAACTTACTATGTAGCTATGTAGTTAAGGATAGCCTTGAACTCTATCCTCCTGCCTCCAGCTCCCAAGTGCTGGGATTGCAGGCATGGTGACACACACCAGACTAGCTAGCTGACTTCCATTTGCCTTTCAGCTCTTGGCTTCAGGATAACAACTACTACTGTTCTAAAGTGCTTCCTTATGACAACTCATTTCATTTTCAAAACAACCCTAATTAAGGAGGTAGGTATTATCATTATCCCCACTTTATAGGTGAGAGAGAGAGAAACAACTTCAGAAGTTTCTGGAGATTTCCCTTTTGCCACTCATTGGAGCACTCAGGAATATACTTTATTTTGTGTGTATGAGTGTTTTGCCTGCATATATGTAAGTGCACCTGTATGGTACAATATCCATAGAGGCCAGAAGAGGGTGTCAGATCCCCTAGAACTGGAATTACAGATGGATGTCAGCCACCATAGGGTGAGTGCTGGAAACTGAACCTGGGTCCTCTGCAAGAGCATCCAGTACTCTTGACCACTGAACCATCTCTCTAACCTGCCCCCCACTTTTTTTTTAAAGACAGTCTCCCTGTAGCCCCAGCTGTCCTGGAACTCACTATGTAGATCAGGCTGGGCTAATCTCACAGAGCTCTGCCTGCCTCTGCCTCTTCAGTGCTGGGAAAAGGTATGTGCCACCATGCCTACCTAGGATATACTATATGTACTTTTTTCTTTGGTCTTTTTGAGACAGGATCTCCCTGTAGCCCCAACTGTCCTGGAACTCACTAGGTAGACCAGGCTGTCCTGGGAACTCACAGAGATTGGCCTGTGTCTGCCTTCTGAGTGCTGGTATTAAAGGCATTGCAATCATGCCTGGCTTATATGTACTAGGCCACCACACCCAGTTTATGTGTACTATTTTTTTTAAAATATTTTATTCATTAATTTTATGTGTATGCATGTATTGCCTGCATGTAGATAAAGTGTACCCATATCGTGCAATGCCCGCGGAGGACAGAAGAGGCTGTTGGATCCTTTGGAACTGGAGTTACGGACAGTTGTTAGCTGTCATGTGGGTGCCGGGGTTTGAACCCAGGTCTTCTGCAAGAACAGTCAGTGTTCTTAACCACTGAGCTAGCTCTGCAGCTCCCTATATGTACTATTTTTAAAATTAGTTTTATGGGCCAGGGGTGGTGGCTCACACCTTTAATCCCAACACTCAGGAGGCAGAAGCAGGCAAATCTTTGAGTTCCCAGGACAGCCTGTTCTACCTAATGAGTTCCAGGACAGCTAGGGCTACAGGGAGACCCAATCTCAAAAAAGACCAAAAAAAAAAAAAAAAAAATTACTTTTATGTGGCTGGAGAGATGGCCCAGTGGTTAAGAGCACTGGCTATTCTTGTAGAACACCCAAATCCAAGCACCCACACGGCCTCTATCAACTGTCCAAAATTCCAGTTCCAGAGGATCCAATGCCCTCTTCTATCCTCCTTGGGCACTGCACGACATGCAGGCATAACACTCATACACATAAAATAAAAATACACACAGAAAAAAATAAAATAAATAAAAATAAATACGTTTTTAAATTTTATGAAGTATACTACATAGTCACTGTAAAAATCAAAACAATGTAGCACATAAAAATTGAAAGGGGTAGCCGGGCATGGTGGCACACACCTGTAGTCCCAACACTTGGGAGGCAGAGGCAGGCAGATCTCTGTGAGTTCAAGGCCAGCCTGGTGTACATAGTGAGTTCCAGGACAGCTGGGGCTACAAGGAGACCCTGCTTCAAAAAGACCCCCCCCCCGAAAAAAATTGAAAGAGGCTGGAAGATGGCTCAGTGGTTAAGAGCACTGGCTGCTCTTGTAAAGGACCTGGATTCTGCTCCAGCACTCACATGACAACTAATAACCATCCATAACTCCAGTTTCCAGGAGATCTGACGCCCTCTTCTGACCTCCAAGGGCATTGCATGACAGAGGTGTACTTACCTACATGCAGGCAATACACTCATACACATAAAAATAATAAGCCAAGTGTGGTGGTGCACACCTTTAATCCCAGCATTCAGGAGGCAGAGGCTCGGGGATCTCTGTCAGTTTGAGGTCAGCCTAGTCTACATAGTTGAGTTCCAGGCTAGCTGAGGCTACAGGGAGACCCTGTCTCAAAAAGGCCAAATAATAAATAAATAAAATAAATAAATAAATAAATA